TTAATTATATTCAAATATGATTTTGATTGAATAAGGAATTTTGCTCAATCGTTTGTATCATTTTGCATTAAATTGTTCAATTGGCAACGAATTTGCTTCGCAGAAATCATTTTGGTATTTAGCCTTTTATAATATATTTAACTGCTGTCTCTTTCTCTCTTTTTATCTATCTCTATCTATCACTCTCTCTCTTTCTCTCTTTATCTCTCTCAATTTTCATTCGGCTCTATCAAAGAAAATTCTCAAAAAATAGTATCAAAATCCAGTCTGGTGTCAAAACGTGTATCAAACGATTTTCCTCAGTTCGCTTTCCCATTCAATCCAATCACAATTCTAATTGAGGTTCTCAGAGTTTTTCAAATCAGTTTTGTTATTCGATTTTTACTAAAATATGTGTTAACTATTTTAGACTTCAAATCAAAATTTGGCTTTAATTTGATATATGGCTTAAGCATCCAAATTGTGTGCAGTGTATGCATGTGCATTAGTCTCGTTGCAAGTTACCGTCATATGCAATCTAGATTGGCGTTGCACAGCTGCACAGTGGGGCCAGCCAATCGATATGGGGTTCGTTGCAATTTTGTCATAAATAATGCTAAAGGAGCTGCAATTTGTTTAGGCGCACTCAAAGTTTATTGTTATTAATCTGGCGATTATTTACTGCGGCGCATAGACAATGTATCCTGATGGTCAGGCGTCATTCTCAATAATTGCGATAACCACAAAGCGCAACGCCAATCTGGGCCAAATTACTCATGCACCATGTGTGCGAATTCTGTTTAGAGTGGGGCGGCGGGGTGATCATTTCAATTGAAAAACATGTTGATTGATTGTCAGCTGATATGAACAGCAATTGTGGTTTAGTAATTCAATCACCCAATAGTATCGCATTGCGCATCGCACAGCCACATCAAAAGCAAGAGACGCTGTCAGCAGCAGCGCTGGATGTGCCACAGCCAGTGGCACAAGTGACAAAACAGCAACAAAATGTCATAATTGATAGCGACAAGCGATGCTGCAAGCTGCTGTGGCAGCTTCTGTTGCAATTGCCCTCTCCGACTCTCTGCCACTTGAGCAGCCGTTGACCGGATTAGGCACAAATTGTGTTTATGTTCCACACATAGAAATCTGTGACAAGTTAATATACGAGAAGCAACAAATCCGATTATGGGCATGACTTGATTCCATTTGCATGTGGCCCAGCAGCAATTTGTTGCACGTTTGCAGTGTGCTGCCTAATTGCAATAAGAATTAATTATAAATGCCATATTTTTGTGCGCTTTGAAAGTGTTGCTAATTTGATAAACAGAGGCGTAGGCAAGGCACAACCCAGTCACAGGCAACGAATGCGAGGGAATTGAAAAGAAAGAAAAAAAACCCAAAGTATCCCATTCGATTTAATTTAAATTAGTTTATAATTTATTTGATGCCGCAAACACATTACCACTCACACAGCACGGACGCGGACCACACACAGCACACAAATTATCTCGTAGGCAATTTAAAATGTTTAATTTAACATAAAATCAACGCACGGCGACAGACTAAAGCACATTTGTGGCAACAGAAACACATAAACAAGCACATTATTGAGAGCTAAGACAACAGGTTAAGAAAAATCAAAACAGAAAAACACAGAGAAAACAAAAACCAATAAGACGCGATGCGATAAATTTGTACAATAAAACAAAACTGATTTCCGTCTAATGCGATTGACACCTAAAACACCAAAAATTTCAAATTACAATAAGTATACAAAATCGGATCTCGCTACATCTCTCTCTCTCTCTCTCTCTCTCTGTCTCTTTCTCACTCGCCATGGGCTTTGTTTCGCTTCATTTCTGATTCCCAATAAAAATTAGGAGGTAGAAAACAAGATACCAATAACAACAACAAATACATGCACATAAATAATGTTATTAAAATAGACACACGATGTGATTTGGGCGCTCAAAACTCTGAAGCCGGGTCAGCCAGCGGCGAACTTGATTAGCTCATCACTTAGGCCACTAAAAGAGACACTTCCAGCTGACACTGATTGGTCGCTGTGGTCCACAATTTGACAACGAGTAGTTCCCGTCAGTTCGCATTGCCAGTTTTCAAAATGTTGACTTAAATGTGTGTGTGTGTGTGTATCTGTGAGGGAAAAAACACTCAAACACAGTTAAATAGCAAACGTACGCACAGAAATGCAAATAGCCGAATAAGTGGGCAGCCAAAACTGTCGAGTTGTCTGTTTATAGACATACTGTCATTATTTATGGAATTAAATTGTTAAATTCAGCTCTTCTATGAGCCACCGTCCACCGCAGCTCTGACCTTTTGCATTCAGAAATAGCATCCAAGACGATTAATTATGCTGATAACTTGTAAGTAATTCCATTATATATTTAGCCCCCGGCCTCATTGAAATAAATTGCAGGCTTACGATGTTTATTTAAAGTATTTAAATTTACAATAAATTGCACATAAATATCCTTAAATCTGAATTTATTAAAAAATTCACTTTTAGTATATAAACCGAAGAACATTTTAGATTTGGCAACAATAGGCTTCAAATCCTCTGATATATGCTAGATATATACAAGAGTTATAGGCAAATTTAAGGCTTACTATTTTGATTTAACTTGAACAGCAATCTGAATTGATGTGAACTTCGAATTTATTTGTATTTGTATTTCTATTTGTATTTGTATACATATTTAAATACATATGCATACTAAAATCTATTGACGTTAGTTTTAAGTGATTATTTAAATGCGATACCGCTTTCTATATATTTGAAATATAAAAGAAGCAACATCTATAAATAAGACTTAAGCCGCCGACTGCTACATACTCTGTTAACAGAGTAATGGCAGCTCATGCTTTCGATAATGTCTTTCAAAAATATTCTTGATTAAATATTTATGTATATGTAAATAAGTATCTATGGATGGACAGACAGACATTGGATAAACCCAATTTTAGTTAGCACGGCAAACAATTTGATATGTTTCCAAGATTTTTAGCTCATCGATTAAAAATAAATAATTCTCTTTTTTTTGGCAACAATTTGGCATATCTTAGCTTGTGCTGATTAATGGTTGCAGCTAACCGAAATAAATGCAATTTAAGTATTTGTGTGTGGCATGAAATGCCTTTCATATGACAGTACTTTAAATGCCATGCGATTCCTTTGCCACATACAACTATGGGGCAGTTTGAAAGATAGAGTTCAACTTGGTTGCAGGCACAAAATTCTCAATTCTCACATTTCGTCAAGAGTTGAACAATTAGCTAACTGATTTATCGATTTGGAGCAGAGCACATGGCGAATGGTTTGCTCCAACTTAAACGGAATGGTTAAAGCAACGTGACTCGCGTGGAGCCAGCGAGCCGCCTGATGCCAGAAGCAGCAGCGGCACCAGCAGCAGCAGCATGGGTGCAACAACCGCTGTCGCTTACAATTTGATTTGATTTGATGTGCGCCTACGAATGTTGGCAGTGTTGCAGGCACTGGCATTTGTCGCCATCGTTGTGGCTTGCTGCTCGTTTTTTGCTTGTTGCCAGTTGGTTGCTGTCGAAACGCATAATCGTAAAATTTGCTGTGGAATGTTGCAATATTTTGCGAGTGGAGCAATTTGCGCGTGAATTATTCCAAACGTTGCATTACAAATGATTTCTGTACACTTACAAACAGCAACAGCAACAACAATGGCGACAACAACTTTAATTGGCCCAACGAGGAAGTCGTTGTCCCATCAGCAGCAGAAGCAGCAGCAGAAGCAGCAGCAGCACCACCACCAGCAGCTGCTAAACAGCTCAGCATAGGTTAGAGTCTCCTCCTCCGACTGAGAGTAAGTGTTGGCTTTGTGGATTTTTCACTCAACGCCTCATTTTGCATGGTACGTGATGCAGACAAAGGCGTTGCTCCGCCGGTTGGTTGACAGTTTCTGGCCAAACGAAACGACACGGCCATAAAAATCATATTCCACTCTGTTTTCCATGAATGTCACACACTTGAGCCGCTGTATTCTGGTGGGTGCAGCAACCGCAGCAGCAGCAGCGTCTCTGACTACGTCTCTATTATTGGCGTGGAGCCACAAAAACGGTGTGAAGTCATCGCGTGAAACGCTTTTTTTGCAGGCTTCCATTTAATTTCCATGGCCAATGCATGCGCTGGCAAATGCATTAACTGGCATCTGCAGCTGCAGCTGTATGTGGCTTCATTCCACCATTGTTTAGTTAGTCCATTCCGTGGTCTGGCTGGCTGACTTGCTGGCTGGCTGGTTGGTTGGGCCGCAGTTGCCATCTAGGTAATTCCTGGAAGTTAATTTCATTAAGAGCAACTTTCAATGCGCGTCGTATTTATTAGCCGCATGATATATATACACTACATACCTATATTGGCCTTTGTTTTTCAAGGAATCTGCCGCTTTGCTCACTTCCAGCCAACCAACTGGAGGTCGTTCATGTGTTTGAGAAATTCATCATCGGCGACGCTGGCGGGTTGCGTCTCCGCTTTGCACTTAGATGTTTGCATTTTTCATAACTCATTGCCATCTATTATAGTGCATTGCATCGAGATCTGGTTGCCCTGGTCGCTGAATAAGGCGTAAATTTCCTTAAGAATTATACGCCATTATACATGCCACTTAATAAAAATAACCCCAGGGTGGGGAACAGCTAAGATTCTTATTAATTGTTATCGCAAAAACAAAGATTTCTTTATGCGTGTGTGCCGCCAGCTGCTCGCGTGTGTGTGTGTGTGTGTGTGGGTCTGTTGCAAGTGTCTGTGTATACATGTGTGTGTGTGAGCAAGTGTGTGCCTTCATTTGGTCACAGCAATGTCGACAAGTGTTGTACACGCATTCCAAATAATTTTCTATCATTAGCGTCTGCTACTGCTGCTGCTGCCACTGTTGCCCCAGGTGGCTGGTTGGTCCTCGTGTCGGCCTTTTGCAACACGGATGCATTGCATACCATTCGCTACTTACAACATTGAAAAATCTTGATCATATTTAAGTTACAGCGTTCTTTTGATTTTTTATTATTGATACTTGGAAACATGTAGCAACACTCACAGTGCTTGACAAAATTATGTGGAACAAATCGTAGTATAAACATATGAATTAAGATGTTATAACAGATACATACGGTGATCGCCCGATCGCCCGATCGCTTTGGTTCCAAAACTATATCTAATTTATAATATATGATTTGTGTGTGGTGTTATTTTTGTATGCAATTAATCAGAAATTAATGATTTAAATATGTTGAACATTATTTGTGCTGTGTAAGAGCAAGTTTGTTAAGAATGTAAGAAACTAGAATTTAAATTAAGGGCGATTCCAATTTAGATTTAGATTAAAAAATTCCTAAATTTCGAGCGATCACACAAACATACATACAGTAAATATTTTTGTTTGTTATTTAAAAGGAATATATGGTAAATCAATTGAAACTGAACTTGCAACAATACTAAATACTAACGAAATTCTGACAATTGGAGTATTCTGCTTCGCTATGGCACAGCCAGATTCATCTCAATCAGTAGTAGACGCGATAAGCGACATAGAGCAGCAGTGCCACCATCGATATAAACAACTTCGACTTGAGATTGTATTTGCGATCGAGGCTCTGCCACCAGCGTCCCAGTACAACGGATGTCGACTCATGTTCTGGGCGTAGGGAGCGACGACCACCAGTGATGCGCCTATTGATGGAGTTGCCGCGATCGCCAATGCGTTCGGCTCGCAAGCGCGCCAAATTGCGGGCGAAATCACTCTCAAAGTGACCTCCCTGGGAGAGAGGTTCGTCATCGGCGGTGTCATCGCTAAATTCTGTGGTATAGTTGCGCGGCGGTGAGCGACGATAGCTGGTAGCAGTTGGAGCAGCAGCTGAGGTTGTGGATTTGACTGGGACTGTCTGCGGGCTCAAGTAGCTGCTGTAACGCCCACTTGACGCATACGAACTGGCCCCAGTAATGCGAGGCGCCTGTGAGAGATGAGAGATGGGCGCCTGCTGTTCATAATTCAGACTAGAGCGCTCCAGTGGCTGTTGGTTTTTCTGCTCCCGTGTGGGATAAAGTGGATCGCTGCTAATATATTGATGGGATTGATGGGTGCTTGTTGTTATGGGTGCCGCCTGGCTGTAAGAGATTGGCGCCTGCTCATACCTCAAGCTAGGGCGCTCCAGCGGTTGCTGTCTTATGCGCTCCCGAGTAGACTCCAGGGAGGGATACAGCGAGTCACCAACATATTGAGTGCTTGTTGTGGTTGTGGTCAGCTTAGATGTGGGCTTAACTGTCTTCTGTTTGAACACCAATTGTTCCTCGGCACGGTTTAATGCACGCGACATCTGCTCCTCCACCTCTTCATCGGATTCCAGTATGATCAGCGAGTTGACTTCCAAAGCGCTTTCCCCCTTGTGTTGTTTTGTCACTTTTGTTGCTGTTGTTGCGGTTGTTGCCATTGTCTCCTCGACTATAGTTTCGGGCTTCTTTACGACACGTTCGACATGCATCTCACGGTGCTCCGTATTGGAGGTGCGACGTGTTTGAATGGGCGCGGCCTTTGCTGCTACAGCAGCTGGTTTAACGGCCTCGGACTCACGGGGCGGAGCTGCAACAGTTTCCGGCTTGCGGCGTCGTTCGGCCTCTTTGGTGTCGCTGGCCGGGAATGCAATGCTGCGGCGTGTCTTTGCCAAGCCATCCGATTTATCCACCTGATCAGCGGCAGTGGCAGCAACTGGCTGCATGGTCTCACGGCGATTGCCGGCTTTCTTGGGACTGGCGGCTGCCGACGATGCGGCGTTGCCTCCAAGTGAGGTACGCAAACGTTTGACGAGCACTTTGCGGCTGCTATCAGTTATGGGCATATTCGGCAGTCCCTGGGCGATCATCTGTGCGCGCAATTCGGCATTCGATAGTGAATCTAAATTGTCAATGTCGGCCATAATCGCAGGTTTTCGTCACACGCTTTTTCACAAATCGTTGAAATTGAAAGAAGTTGCGCGTCACTTTTTTTTGCGCGGTGCAATGCTGCTTAGCGATGAGCGATAGTGAACAATCGATAACTTTCAACAGGCTTGAAATGATGCGAGGAATCGTTGGTCCGTTCAGTACGTAAAACTGCGGTTTTTTTTACATTTATTTTCCGTGCTGTTACGTTGTTTACCTTAATCTGGTCAATTTTATCGAACATTTATTTAAATTTTCGTTCTCAAACGACTTTACTACATTTAAACGTCTGGCAGCACTGACAGTTTTCAGTGCTGATAAACTCTCACAATAAGTTACTTTAGAGCACTGCCAAAATGAACATACAAATGAATAGTAAATAAAACACTTCAATTACACGAAAGTATTAAAATCAAAGCCGACTCTTGCAATATTTGCATTCCACTGAAAACCAACGAAAACAGCAACTAGAATGGACATCTCAAAGGCACCAAATCCACGCAAGCTGCAACTCTGTCGCACCTACTTTATGAGTAAGCTGCTGCTGCCCTTTTTAGCCAATCTTTTGTCTCATAAAACTCTGCTTCTAGCTGGCTTCGCCCTATTGCCGTTTGTTTGGGCCATAAATGTTTGCTGGTTCTGTGAGGAGGCCTTCCGCAAGCCCCCCTATCCCGAGCAGGCCCAGATTAAACGCTGTAAGATATCGGACTGAATTTTCGAGTGCAACGAACTCATTGATTTCTTTTCCACATAGATGTTATTTACTCGGCGATAGGCACGCTTGTCTGGACAATTGCCCTCATCAGCTGGATTATCATATTCCAGACGAATCGGGCTGCTTGGGGCGCAACTGCAGACTATATGAGCTTCATAATACCACTCGGCAGTGCATAATTGTATAAATTAATAGGGATTTATTTAACGATTGATATTATTATAATTCGTATGCTAATAAAATAATAATTTGTATATTCATCAATCAACTCCTCTGCATGCTCGAAAATGACACGTTCAGATTCGCAAGAATCACGCGCTGATTTTGCTTTCGTTTTTTTGACTGTATTCTCTGATATGCCATGCAAATTACTATTTATAGTTATTTTAACGAGTTCAGAGGATCGCCACAGCCAGTACCCTATTAATGGGGTTGTATTCAGTTTTAGAATATTGCCATGAATTCAAACTACATAATTCCAATTCCAAGTCAATTCAAAAATTTCACATTTTAAATACATTTTTTATTCACATCTAAAGCTTATTTTTTTGTTATATATATATTACTATATATATATATATAGTATTATATAGTACTATATACTTTTGAAATTTCTTAGACACTAGTTATGTGTTTGTTTTGTTCATAATTTGTTCATTTTTTTTGTTTTTACTTGAATGCCATTTATCCGTTTGTTGTTGCATCGTTTCCGCTTCGTTTTGCTGACACTTGTCAGCATCCGGCATCCGGCAACCTGTTTCCGGTTTCCGGCTGTCTGCTGTTTGATAACATACAATTTCATTGTGTCGAATGTCAATAAGTTTGTTCTTGCGTTGTTTGTTTTATTAAAATACATAAATATCGTTTAAAATGTCCTGCGCTTGTACCATTTAATTGAATAAACTAAGCTGTTAATTTTACGTTTGTTTTTACGTTTTCTCGCTTAATTGTTTGTGTAGCTACGCTGATTCCACTACGAACATTGAGTTAATTTGTTGCGCAAATAGTTGTGGAAATATGCAACAAAAGGGGGGGGAAGAACTGTTGTCATGATATTCAAAATGTTGTAGTTATTTATTAGACTGTATTGTATTGGAATCCCCTCCGTTAGAATGTACAATACATGAATATATGTTGCTTTAGTGTTTATAACACACACATGCCGTATGTATTTTGATCAATGAATCGAACTAATTTACAATATAAAAGACTCGATTTAAGGTATATTTACATGCAATACTTTGTTTTTTGTTTGTTTGTTTTTTTTTTTGTTTGTTTGTTTTATTAATAAATTCTAAAGAATTGTGTTTTTTGTTTTATTTTGTTTGTCGGGGGCTTAGGCTATAAAACATTAAGTGCCATTAAATCACGCGTGTAGTCTATGATGAAGCGGCTAGTGAACTACAACACACATCCACCTTCTTCACATTTACATTCACAATCTAGTTAATAAATGTAAATTACACATATCAGATAATTATATTTTCATCATATCATACACATACATCAATACATATACATATACATATATGCATATATATATATACACATATATATAAATATTTAAAGTACACGTTTGATACTTAGAAACATTTAAATTAGTGTCGGCTGCACGAGCCTAAAATTCACAAAGTAAAATGTGCTTTTCATGTTATCATCTTTTCAGTTTTGTTTTTGTTTTTGTTTCTTTTTTTGTTGTTTTTTTTTTTTAGAGAATCTACAGATACGAATAGTAGACACATACATACATAAGATATAAGAATGGGCGCGCCCTTTGTCTTTTAGATGCAAATATCGCGCTGGCTCCATTCGCAACACAGATAAGGATTAATTAATACACACTGCTAAATGCTAAATGGTAAGTGCTACATTGTAATTGGTAATTTGTAATTTGTAATTGGTAATCGGTAATCGATAATAATAATAATCGTTAAGCAATATGCATTAGTTATTATATTAATTATATTAGTTGTTTTTCTCTTTTGCTTTGTTTTTGTTTTTTTTTTACAAGAAATCAACACACTACAGGTTTCGTATCTTTTTTTTGTTTTGTTCATGTTCGATTTACGCCTCTCTCGTATAATTTATATAGATATATATATATATATATATATATATATATAAATATAACTATAAATATATTATGTTTGTATGTTTAATGTATATATATATATATGCAAAATACACTTAGGAAAAACATCGCTAAATTGTAGTTTATGCTATATTATCATATCGTATGTAATCTAGATATACATATACATATATATATATATATATATGTATATATAGATATTTATTTATAAGTTGTTTTGTTTTTTTTATCTGGTAATAGTAGTGATAAC